TACTATGTGTCTACTCCATCGCTCAAATAACTTATTTAGGAAGATTTTTATGGTCTAAAATTTTGTGCACCATATAAGAATTATCAAAAAATTATTTTAAAAATTTTGAATTTTAAGTTGTACAAAGCTTAGATCTAGCCCTTCAAAAATTGGACGGTTTGTATCCATATCGAGGTGTTAGTTTTTTCTAGTACATAAGAGTATGTAATTCAAAAACAAATATTTATAAAAATTAGTCTATGGGCACTACAGAATACATCCCTAGAATTTGAGATCTAAAAGGTGTTCTTTGCATGTGTTTTGACTTAAGGAGTAAATGGATAGTATACTCCCGCCAAAGTAGGAAATCTTTTACTTTTTTTCTTTCTCTATTACATCTCCAAAAATTTAAGATCTATGCCTTGGGGAAAAGTTTTCCCAATGCCTATAGGCGAAAATAAACAGTGATTTCGCTATGTTCATCACCGTCCAAAATTTATCGTACGGACACAAGTGTTCGGTAGTGTTTCAATTTTCATTTTTTTTATTTATAAATCAGAATGATATGAAATTTGAAGCATGTGTACATCTTAGTGAAGTGTACCTAATAAAAATATGAAAACAATATTTCGTAAAATATAAATTGATCAAAATACCCCCATAAATTTTCAGGGGTATTTTGATCAATTGATATTTTGTGAATTATTATTTTTTATAGTTTTATTTGATTATTCTATTTTTTATGAACACACGCTCCTAATTTCAGATCATTTTGATCTATAAAAAAAAAAAAATAATAAAAATATTACTAAACAATTATAATCATGCAATAAATTTTGAATGATGATAAACACACCTGATGTGTCTCTCAGTTTAGGATGAGAGACCTAAACCCAAACTAGTTTTGGAGATTAGAAACTTATTGGCCACTTTGGTAATTAAGCCAAAACAAATGGGAGCTGTGTGAGATGGAGGACACGTGTAAAAGAGCATTTAATAGTGTGCCATGCCTTTCGGACAAATTGTTCAGCTTTGCGTGCCCTCCAAGGTTACTATTTGTCCCCCCTCTCCTTCTATCTATTAAATATTAAATAAACTGTTTTTTAAATATTAAATAATTTAAATTAAATAAACTTAAACTAAGGTTCCCCCAACTCCTCCCTGTCTCTCTTTCTTCGTGCTCCCTGTTTTGTCCCCCTTTTCTCTCTATCTTATCTATAAACTAAGGACACGGATGTAGAATGAGTTGCCTCTTAAAGATCTATTTTTCACACGTAATTTTTATGAATATGAAAAAGTAAATAAATTTTAAAAAATAAAAATAATAATTTTATTAATAAAACATTTGAATCATTAATTTTAATTATTTTTAGATGGACCACCTGTTTGTATCCATTTTTAAGATAGATACTTCATATCTCGAGGATTACAAATGTAGAAATACAGTCCCCACCGCAAGAAATAATTTTCATAAAATAATATACATAACTAATGTTGTTTTTCTCTCTCATATATATATATATATATATGAAAAAGTATAGAATGAGACCATTTAATTTTAATACAAGGTGGTCACATTAATCTTGACCATGGGATGTAACATTGGGTGGTTGCAATTATTTCATTAACCAAGCTCAAACTTTAAAATTTTTTTTTTCGAACTTTGTGAATCCAAGATATCAAATTTCATATTAAATGGTTGTAAGGAATTTGGGCCACCTTGTATCAAGGTAAATGGTTTCATTGTATACAATCCGAAGCTTTCTATACTTCCTCAATTCTATATAAGTTATATACTTCTCCCAACTAGCCATCCAATTTAGATTAAGTATGACATTGACCGTTTGATCTAGCTCCAACATCTTAGAGTATTTTATTTTTAATTTTTTAAACAAATCATATGACTATGAAAATTGATACATGGCATCATCTCACTAGGGCACACCTAAACTAAATATTGAATATGTTTTCGATAACATAAAAAAACCAAAATACCCCTGAAATTTTTAGAGGTATTTTATTCATTTTATTTTATCAGGAATATTTTTTTTTTGTTTTTACAGGTGCGAGTTCAAAAGAGGAGTGGACGACTAAATTTTGGTGTCAAAATGGTTTGCGGAAAAAAATTCAAAAGCTTTTGCTATGTAAAATTAGTTCTGCTCCTGGGGGAGCATAGAGCCGTTTTGGACACTCTAGTAAGACCCAAATTAAGAGTCTGACTATTAATATTGAGGCGTAAACCCAAAAAAAACTATTCATTTCGACTTTGTAAGTGCTTGAAAAAAAATTTAACGTCAAGATATTAAACATAGACCATCTAATTTCTTGAAATTCAGATCACAGTGTTCATTCTTTTGAGAAAAGGATCATGAAGTGCTTCTTAATTGGATCCCAGAATCTCAAATAGAAAAAAATTCCCCTTGAGTATCTCTTAGGCCCGAGGGAGAAATAGCACCATATGTTCCCATAGGACCATGCTATAATACTTATATAGGCTCTATACACATAGCACTACAGGGTGAGGTTTGCATAAGGCGCCCTCCTGATAGTAAGCTGCAACTCTAAAATCTCGTTCGAGAGGTAATTCCAATATTAGAAACCTTATGATAGTTTGAAAATCTATTTTTATACTCAGTTATGTAATTTAAAATTTTAAAAATAAAACAGTTCAAACATATCTATAAATATTTAAAAAACCTTGAAAATAGCACTCCAAATAACTTGTTAAGAGGTAGATTATTTTTAAGACTTGAATTTATTTTTTTATTCATATCCATACATCTCAAGGTTGAGATGATCATTTGGAAGGTTCTTCAACATCAGAAGACTCTCTTCTAAAGGATTTTTGATACGCACCATACTTCAATATTATAAGATTGCAACCAAAAATAAACTCTCCAAAAACTACTTTCCTCCCTTCTCTCTCTACGTCATGCTTAGAATATACATTATTTTGTTTTGCTGCCTTATCTCACTCTACAATTTTGAGAATAAAAAAGAACATGAGGATGAGGGGTTATGAGGTTACTCCTCTGTAATGGATGTCCATGATTTCGTCCAGACGCAAGAGAGATGATGCTCTTACGAGTATCATGGCCTTTGATGCACTACTTAATCTTCTTACTTGATAATTAATTGATATTAAGATACAGTATTAGGATAGAGACCCGCATAAACCAGTATCTGTCCTAATCATGAATTATCCCTGATAATGGCTTGTTGATTGACCTTCAAATCCTATTCAATTCACACTTAAATGGCCATTCACAGGGCCCCAAAATACAGAAAGAGTACAAATCCAGGTATTTTAATTGAATGCTAATAGTGAGCTATTTACAAATGGAAGGCATGGACCAGTGACTTTTATTTTATATGTTAACATGAATCCATATCTTTTAGAGCATCTCCTAATCGCTTGATTTTTTTTTTTTTTTTAAAAAAAAAAATTTAATCCCTTGGGTTCACACAACTATAAATGAGAGGGTGACCTTAACCTTAACTACCATGCTCTTCCCAATTCCCCTTTCTCATATCAGTGACTATGGGAATTGTGGTTAAGGGGCAGGCTGCATTTTGAGGGATTCAGCTTCTTGGCTTAGTGGTTTAGGTGTAAGGATCATACTCTTTACTACTAAGAACTCTCTAAGAAAGTCCTTTCCCACGGGCAGACGGCCGCTCGAGAAACCAATTATTCTTTGATAATAGTAAATACAATGGAAAGGGGGCCCCTAGGTATAAATCAAGGGTCCTTGAAAATATGTAGTGATAGGAAGCCTATGAGTTCCCTTATGAAAGTAGTAAGACCCAAGGTTTACATCACAGACTCTGAGAGGTTCAAAGCCCTTGTTCAGGAGTTGACTGGGAATGGCCTTCCCCCACCTTCTCACAAGCATCAAGTGAAGAAGGCAGGGCCAGTAATTGACACCAAAGATTGTGAAGGGGTTCACGATTGCATATCTTTGCCACCATTAGTGGCTTTTACAGCCTTGCAGAGTGCTCAGGCTGTGCAGCAAACTGTCTTCGATGATTTCGAGTTTGAAGATATTGACACCGCATTCCTAGATCTCGAACAATTTTTCCTGAATGATGGATTCTAGCTTGCCTTTATTGTGCCGTTTACTGGTTTTATTTCCAATTCCAATGACTCAGACGCATCATAGCTGCTTATAGAGAACTGGAAAGGTAGGTTTCCTGTGAGGGACATGGGAGCGTGGTTTTGCAGTTGTTAAAAAGTAGTCATTCTTTTTACTAGATATGAGCTGCTCATACATTTTTTTTTTAAATGTAAAGACAGGATGTATTTTGGTCTGTCTAGATGTAGACAGAGGATGTATCTTGGTCTGTCTAGATGTAGAGAGAGGATGTTTTGTATATAATACCAGTTCAAATGTATGTTGCATGGAATTAAAAGAGTGGATGAAGCTTCGAGTCACCGACACATGCGATATAAAGAAATTATTCAGCATGGGGAATGGAGCTCTTCGCACCATGGTCAGGGCATGTGGAGCTATAATGTGATATCAAGAGTTCTATTCGATATTCAAAATAAGTAAAGAATACAAGAAAATTATTTTGGACATTTTTAAAGACGAGTGATTATGACCTCCTTGTACAAAAAGTAAATGATTTCTTTATGTACAATTCCAACTATTTAATATAAGATGATATTTGTAACATAAAATTCAAAGGTACTACTAAAAATATTTCATGAGAATTTTATTAAGCCACAAATTTCCATTGCAAAAATGTGATGAGATGCTTTAAATTGGTGACAGTACCTTAGTAAAATCATCGCGTAATACACCCAACAGGTTTTCGAATTTTTTATAGGAAAGAGAATTTGCATGCTTGACCAAACAACTTACTTTTAGCACCCAAACGACAATTATTATGACATAGGCATCAAATTCCTCACAATAATGTAATTATAGCTTTTTGCTGAATTTTGACATGGATTTGAGATTTCACAGTAACTAAGCAAACATATGGACCACAAATTGGTTTTGAGTTTGTCACAAATCTGGCCTTCAACAAAAAATTCGACATTTCACATAAAAATTATCATCTGATTTTCTTTTTCGCAATTCAAAACGATTTTGATATCCACATTGAGGAGATTTATGTTTATCAAGAGGCCAATCACCGAAAAATTGTCAAACCAAGGCTAAGAATTTGGAAATAGCTTCACTGCAACTGAACTGAAGGACAATATAAAATGAAGGAGAAATTTAGTATATTTACAAACATGACCTACAGGACCAGATTTCTATTCCTAACAGAACACCACTATGTCTAAAGGCAGGGATATTAACTCCCATCAGAACAGGCAGTCCCAACTTTTTGCATTGCTGGTGACCTCATTAAACCTTCCCAGTTCGAGAACATTGTGTCGGCAATGCTTTTATCATAGTGGTGGTCGTCTTTTCTTCATTATGTTTGCAAAATAACCTCCAAGCGTTAACGATTCCTGCCTAAGTTTTAAGTCATATTGGGCTACCTTTTGCGGCCTGCAAGAATATGAACTATGTTCACGTTTCCATTGAAAGTTCACTCCCTGTGCACATCAACGAAGCTAAAACAGTAGTATCATGAGTGCTGTGGTTTACTCAATGAATGAATCAGAATCACATTACCAATAAAAGAAAAAAGCGCAAGTATCATGAATAAACCTGAGGTTGTGAGCTCGTGGTGGCAGCAAGCCAATGGTGAGGATAGGGAGATGGAGTCCTCGATTCTCGAATTACCATAACTGGACGGGGTGGAGTGCTCCTATTGGCAACGAGTCGTGGTGGTGCTTCTCTCATGACCCATAATATGACAATCGATGGAATCGATGAACCTAGATATAATTTTATTTTAATATAAGAAAGATCACACCAAGAGAACTGATTGAAAAAAAGACAAAGATATGGATTGTCAACAACAGTAAGGTGAAATGTGATTAGGGTGCTAGCGTGGAAAGCTATAACATTAAAATGTCACTGGTTTAAATGGTCGCTTACCCACCCATACAGTAATTGTCTAGCAACGGTTTAGCAACCGTTAAGGAACTTTTTCAGGCATGCATTGTCCAGAAAAAATTGTTCTTGATATCAGGGCTGCTAAACTGGATGCCAAGGGGATAACTTATTATCTTGCTCCTTTATTCTCTTATGTCAATGAGAATCAACTGAATGAGAATTTTACTAGATCCTAACCAAAAAAGTTACCAGTGAAAATCCACAACATATCCTGGGCTGGCAAAATCTTTGCTACAGTGTGTTAAAATACTGTTCGATTTCCTCAAATAGAAATCCTACGCAATAGGTTTTGTAGAATTGTGGTTTTGTGGGATTTAGCCAATGTAAATGGCCATTTAATTTGTTATAGATGGGTAGTATTTCATCTATTTATTCTCTTCTGCAAAGCCAATATAGAGAGAGAGAGAGAGAGGGAGAGAGAGAGATTTGAGGTCCAGCTAACATTGGGATATGGATATGTAAATGTAAAAGAATTTACCTATGAAATAATAAAAAGTTGTAATAAACGAAGAGTATATGCCATGCGCATCATCTGAATGCCAAGAATTTAAAACCTGCATCAGAATTGAAGGGGACTTCACTAAAGGCCACTTCATACAGAGTCATATAACCTTTCCTGGAGGGAGGAACTGTCATAACTCACAGGTATATCAGTAACAAGAGCTACTAAAGCGCATGAAGTGAAGCAGACAACAGCAGCTGCTGCTAAACCTGCCACCTACGTCAAGTAATAAACTGTCAATTTGAAACTATAAGCAAAGAGCAATAGCTCATCAAAGGTAGCCATTCGTCACCTTACACAAAATATCTATGATACCTATGAAGAAGCAACATTGGATTCCTAATACACAAGAGATGGTTCACACATTGTCAATGGCCAGTTTATGTTCTTGCCATATCAACAATCTCACGCAAAGTGATCGACTTCATGAATAAATTCAAATACCTTTCGCATCTCAGATGAAACTTTATCTGAACGTACTCTTCTCATCTTTAAGAATATGAGCAGACCTGAAAATCATCACAAGCCAAAGGAGAATAAAACTTCGAAGTATTAACTCATGAAAATTCACTGACACAAAAAACCTGTATTTATCAAAATTATTCAGAATTGGCTATGCATAATGAGAAATAAGAGAAAAATATTGAAACCCAACAAGCAACACAAAAAGAAATCGACCAAAAAAAGAAAAAATTAACAAAAAGGAACATTTGTGTAGAACACATATGAAGGTAAATGAAAGATGTCCACCAAGAAATCTACAGACGCACAAGACACATTTCTATAATGAGCCGAGGAAAATATTCTTATGTAGAGTTATATTTCATAGAATACTTAAGACTGGATGCCCTAGTTAAAAGCAACTGAACTAGTAAGATATAAGAAATGCACATGAAAAGGGGGCTGGAGGATAAGGGTTTGTCAAATGGAAGTACAGATCATAAAGTTAACAATCTTTTTTGATAAGTCCAAAGATAATAATATTGAATACTATGAATTTCTCTACCGGCAAAAAGGTTTTGATTAATGCATCTCATATTCCAACAAGACTTTGAATGCACTTTCAAAAGTTTGAATACACAGAAATGAGGGCAAACACCAAATGGAAGAAAAAATATCATCATCATCATCAAAGCCTTTTCCCAACTATTTGGGGTAGGCTATATTAAATCCTAGTATGTCATTCTGCTCTATCAAGGACCATACCCTCAGTGAAGTCATAAGTCCCCATATCTTTTCTCACTATTTCAACCATATCCTTTTGGGCTTTACCCCTTGTCATGTTTGAGCTTTCCACTTGAATCAACTCGTAACTCCTAATCAGTACTGTACTGGGTCTATACTCTACATGGCCAGCCTATTTAAGTCTACTCTATCTCATCTTATTGCCTATTGGAGCCACACCTAAGTTCTCCCTATTACATTCATTTCGAATTCTATCCCTTCTTGTCTTGCTACTCATCTATCTCAACATCCTCATTATAGCTACACTCATCCTATGAGCATGTTGTTTCTTGACTGCCCAACATTCAAGAAAAAAATAGAAAAAAAAAATATTAAGAGCATGATAGCTTTCTCTTTTATTTCAGTATGAACAGCTTACAGTTAATACCAAAGTTGTTCATATAAACTGCTATATTTCTTAATATCAACATTTGTGGTACTACTAAATCAAATCATCATCATCATTAGAGCCTTTTCCCAACTATTTGGGGTTGGCTAGTACTACTAAATCAAATCTAATATGTAAAATCATTTGGAGTGAACCTTCTCTCTTTGAAGAATACAGGGTTGCAGGTCTTTTTACCCAAAGAAGCCAAAAGATCTAAAGAATTTATACTAGTATAGCTTCGGCCTATTGGTCAAAGACCTAGTCTTTTGCTTCTTTGGCCAAACTGAAGTGAAGATGAACACACTGGTTTAGTCAAAATATACCCGTTAATTTGTAGTAATTCCCATACGTAGGAGGGGGCATCAAATGTATAGGACACATCTAAAATCTTTAACATCATTTGCTGCATCCTTTATCAAATTGTGCATATCAATGGATAGAAATGTATTTGAGCTAGAAAGATTGTAACATCAAGATAATATGATATTTACCCCATAATACATAAGTATTAAGTAACTCGAAAAGGATAATTCACACCAAGCCACTTGTGCTAGATTGCTTGAACGATATCTGATTCAGGACTCCGAGCAGTAGAAAAAAATTAATGAAGCTACCCATTGTGTACTTGTATGGTTACTTGGCCCAACATTACAGAATAGTTATTATGCAAATACTTCTTATGATACTGAAGTTCTCAAGTGGTCCTCATTATATGCCTTTCAGATATATGGTGGGATTTTGGTGTCAGCCAACCGATCCAAATGCAGTCTCCTTCAAAAATCCATATTAGAGATGAATTTTGGAATGAAAATTTTATAGGTTGATAATTTCGACCACCAAAATCTGGAAAAAAAAAAATAGTATCTCGAACCATAAAATAGACTTATTTTAAACAAAATTTCTGGAACATTCATCATAGTACATTTTAATTCCTTGCAGATCATCAGATCTTGTATTATTTTTTGAGTTGCACATGGATGTAAAGTGGGAATGCATCAGTGTGACTTAGGATCCTAAATCCACTCTAAGATGGATTAGTGGACACGACCCGCATTTTAATAGGACCGTATTTAAACTGTTCCCTTAAATATATCAGATTACCTGCTAAAATGGATAATAGGAGTTCCAGACCTTCTACTAAATCCAGATTTCAGTAACTACAAATAATGTTTTCTTAGACGATACTCTTTTGTGAAAATAATTGGTCCTATTCTTCATCTCTTGCAAGCCAGAGACACCATAAATTCGTCTATCAAGAAACCTATTAAATGCTTGATGCAAATCATAAAATTGCTCATCACCACTTTCCACTACCACAGTCAACTTGAATATCTAGTTAATGCTCGAAGCAAAAGAATCCTTACCATAGCAGGCCAGACCACCTCCAACGAGAAGGGTTATTACGGATAGTATATATGAATATATCTGCACAGTGAAGTATATTAGGATGCAAGTTATTTTCCAAACTTCATTTATGAAGCATTATGGAATTGATTGAAGGATACATAATCTCCCCGACATTGACAATCAAGCAATTGGAATTGATGGCACAACATTACAACTTTCTTATAGTATAACCCACAAAATCTTTTTTTTTTTTTTTTAATATCATTGTGTATCCCGTAAAATACCAACAAAGAAACCAGAATTATAAAAGGTAAGTGTAAAAAAATTTGGAAGACATACAATCAGAAGCTCAGATCATATACACACTCTCTTACCCGAGCCATAACTGAAGAATTGATTGGGTTTTTACCCATACCAACCCAAATTAGTACAGAAAATGCGACCATCAGAACCAAAATAAGCACAAGGACCTGATACATAAAAACCAAGTCAGAATGTCACACAAGACAAATAATGAAACCTAATCATCCCTAAAGTATGTTTCTTATTAAGTAGTTTCTCCAAACTTTGAAAACAAAATAAAGAGCATAAGAGGAACATTGAATAAGATTAATATTTTGACAGAGATAAGAAACTAAGTCAACATGTATTTACTCCCATACACACCATTATCACAAATTTTTGTCGGCTGCCTACATGAATGTGCCAAGAACAACATTTTCTATAATTTTCTGCTGATGTAGAGCCTGTTCTGTTCTTTGTCTTTTCCAGCAGTACTTGGTATACTTGGTCATCTTTGTCCTCTTCATCTTCATCAATTGCCTGATGGCAAAGATCAACCCTATTTAACCACCAGTATCAAATGCATAAGAACACAACATAACATTATATTCCCTTAGTATTGATGAAATTGGGTAGCAGATAAATTTTTTCTTAATTATTTAAGCAAAATCTGCACCAAAAATAAAATTGACAAAGTCCATCACTTTTGATAAACTATGTAGTTGGAGCAAACGAAAAGGACGGAAACTACATGGAGAACAAACCCAAGGATTCTCGGATAAATCAGGGAAGGGCCTCCAAGCTGTAGATCCAATTTCATAATTTGAGAAATGTCAATGTGTGAGAATTAGGATTATAAAATTTTAAGACTTTTCAGTTCTATCAACATTCCTACAAGTACTGGCAGGGATAAATCCAAACTTTTGCATCAAATTAAAGACCTAGTGAAAACTTATGCCAGAATGCTGGGTAGTATGATGTCTCTTTACAAAGACACTACCAGACCTTGCAGAGATCATCTATATCTACCCTCAGACCTCAAGAGTAATGCGCTTACATTCTTTAAGTAACACAACAAAAAAGATAAAATTGTTCAGAAAACAGAGATGTGCAAAAAATCCGGCTCTTAAATGTTAAAAGAAAGTTCCAGATTAAAATGTACCAGAAAGATAGAAGCAGAAGAAATGCTCCAAGAAACAGAATTTGAGGGAAGGCTGCAATAAAATAAGGAACATGAATAAAAGTTAGAGGCCACATAAAGCAAATAACAGGTCCTAGTTAAAAGAAGGTTTGAGAATAATAAGCTTGACTCAAAGAATCATGCCACATAACATACAAGAACTTACCCATTAAAATGAATCCACATGCATGTAGCCAGCAAAACCATCCATTGCAATTAGCAATAACATTGGACAAAAAGTAAATCAAGTAACCTGCAAGAAAAGGTGTCTCAGAAGCAATAGGCACAACTAAATTAAGGATCTTCGAATTATATACAAATGATTTAAGCAGATAAATGCAAGCTATCTAATTTTAGTCATGAAACACAGAAAGCTGCTAATAGCAGAATCTAGAGGATATGCAAAGACTGAAGTTAACCTGAAAATTTTTTTAAGTCCTCAAATATCAAACAAAATGGAAGTTAGGAATGTAAGAAGTTCAAGAAAAGTTAAAAATAAATCAAGAAATTTTAACATTTATGATACATTACCATTTCTACCATCCAATACAAGCAACCTACCCACTTCAACAACTTCAATAGAGGCACAAATACCAAGGAACCAAGGGTACCATTTAAGGAAAAATTGGATCCAAAGGAAAAACACAATTAGTATGACTTGTCAACTAATCTAGTCAGGCTTCTCTGACAAGAATGAGATTTGCAAAATTGTTTTCTTATTTATTGGCAAAATGTGCATGCTCACAACACAGCATCAACATTGTAAAAGGCAAGGAATGCAACCAACACTGGACACCATTTGCAATTGGTCACAGCAATGTCTGACAACAATTATGAAAACTCGCAAACTTAGTCACCAACAGCTGTTTCAACAAAAAACAAATTCATAACCTCTTCATCAACATTGAGACACAATGAAAGGTTATGTAACTTCAACTACTGAACTTCAATAGAATCATTCCTATCATTTGACCTTCATGATTCCTATCTGAATTAGAGATGAGTTGTACTCCATTTACAGAATGCCATATGATAGTCCACAAAAGATTAAGGCTAAAAGCAATAAGGCAATGGGTTAGAGTCAATCAAACATATAGATCAAATGCATATGCTTTTGGATAAAGCACAAACCAACCAACCACTTATATTTCTACGATTTTTTCTTTTCCACACAGTGGGTCTAGTAATATTCAAGAACAGAGGTCCACCAACCAATATCCATGCTGACGAGGAGTATCAAGGTGATGGGCGGGAAAAGTCATAGATTTAGGCATGAGTGGTCAAAATTAAGAGAGGTTCACTGAAAGAGAATTAATATTAAATATATCAGCTTATATTGGGTTAATTTAAGTTTTATAGGGATTTTAGGATAATTTAGGAAATAGAGGAAAGTAGATAGGTCATTATTTAATTACCAAGGGGCAAGACTGTCATTTCCATAGCTTTAGGTTTCCATTCAAATAAGTAGGGAGTCTGGTTCTACATGCAAGAATTAGAGAGATGGGGGCTAGATTAGATTTATGTTTCCTTGGTTGGAACTCAGATAAGAATAGGAAAGAGGGGTCTAATTTGTCTTTTATTTTTTTAAGATATATTTTACGTATAAAAGGGGGAGAGGTGTAACACTGGCGTGATATATAGTAACTCCGGACTTTACTTCAGCAGCAAATGTCTTCATGCTCCCTTTGAAAGTCTCATGATTTCTTGATGGTTCTCCCTTTACCATAGTTTTTACTTTTCTCCATTATTGCAATTTCTTGAGCTATTGTTTTATGGAGATTTTCTTACATCGAATTTGTATCAAAGCAAGTTCTTTCTCTGGGAACTTGTGTTTGATTAACTACCGGTAGGAGAGGTGGTCGTGAGAATGGTGTAAGATAAAATAGAACAGAAAAGATGAGATCTGGTAGAAGTTTGACTAGGATAGTTGGCGGATTAATGCAAATTGTTGATGATTTGTGTTGAGAAAAAGCCAAGAATCAAAACATGGCTAAAACCGGACCACATAAACGTTAGATGCCGAAGGGTCACGGGGCATCTGAATAGTCGCGATCCAATACGCACAGTGATAAGTCACAAACGGTGCTCGTCGTGAGAGGCAGTAACCATGCCCTCATGCCCTTTCGGCGATCATTTAATGGACGGCGGCAAGTCGCAGCCCCCTATGGTCGTGCTCGACGATGAGTTACGCGCGACAACAGTTGCGCACAGCGCTGAGTCATGCATGGCGATGGTCATGCACGACACTAAGTCATGCGCAATGATTATCATGCACATCGCTGACTTGGGTAGGCAAAGTGTGGTGACCAATGGTAAGGCCGGGCTTATGAAGCCTGGTGGAAGCCAAGTCCTCTAGCACAACTGTGCACTCCATGTTGTTCTTTGAAAGGGTGCTCACTGTGAAGAGGGCGTGTTCTCTATCATAGGCCAGTTCCTTGCCAGAAAGGTCTGCTTTGTATGTCTGAAATACTTGATCTAAAACCCTTCTACCCTCCTGAGGCGGGAGTAGCGTTTTGGCCTGTAACAGTCCTCTTTTCCTCAGATGCAAGAGTAGCACTAGGGGTCAACCATCTTCTTTTCCTCATATGCAAGAGCAACGATTGAGGTCAGCCGTCTTCTTTTCCTCAGATGCAAGAGCAACATTCCGGCGCAGCTACTCTCTTTTCTTCTGATGTGAGAGTAATACTGCATAATAGATTTGTAACCTCCCTAATAATGGGATTTTTGGCTTGTAACTCCTTCTAATACAATAAAAAGAGTTAAACTTTGTTTGAATTGTCTTGCTTCTTCTTTCCCTTTTTTCTTACCTTCTTTTTATTTGTACTTCCCTTTTTACTTTGTATTGAGTCTCTTTGAGAGCATATCAAGGAAAGTACTTCTTTAGATATTGCCCATTGATGGGCAGCATCACCTCCTCTCCATCAGGATGTGCCAGTATATAAGCCCCATTTGGCGAGACTTTCTTGACTATAAAAGGACCTTCCCACTTAAGTTTAAACTTCCCTTTGCACCGTCCATGCATAACGATCGGCCTTTTGACGGCTAGAACTAGATCCCCACGGGCGAATGAGCAGACTTTGACTGACTTGTCAAAGGCCCTCTTCATTCTACCCTGGTTGAGTCCGAGATTCTGCTAAGCTTTGAGCCTCTTTTCATCAAGTATGTCCAATTCTTGATACTGAAGTTTGACTCTCATCTTTGGTCAATCCTTGATGTATGGCGACACACAGTAATGTGAGCTGAATTTAAGAGGCAAGACTACTTCAATCCCATAGACCAGCGAATAAGGAGTGGAATCAGTGGCATTGCGTGTGGTGGTTCGATAGACCCACAATGCTTCAGGAAGCTTCTAATGCCAGTTCTTTTTTGTCTTTGATACTGACTTCCTTAACACGCTGCACAGGATTTTATTGAAAGCCTTAGCTAAGTTGTTCACTTGAGGGTGGTACATAGTTGAGTACTTCCACTCGAAACCAAACTGGTTAACTAAGCGATCAATGTGATGACTTTTGAATTGAGGGCCGTTGTCAGATATAATCCGGTCAGGCACCCCAAACTGGTATATGATGTGATCTCGCAAGCCGCTTTACCTAACCCATCTGGCTCTAGCCCTATCCTGGCCTCGACCTTGGCCCACCCTATCTCCCCATCCGCCTCTTCTCCTTTGTCAACACCAACCCTCTTCCTTCTTCTTTTGGGTCTGTTGAACAAGGTATTATCAGGCCATGCCATCGCAACCTTGATTGAGGTTCCAAACTCTCGATCCAATCAACCCCTGGAGATACCTCGCCTAGCCCCCCTGCCTCTCATCAACCTCTCTACCCCCACCTCCTCTCCTAGCCCCTCCACCTCTTCCTTAACCCTTTCCTCTTTCATCCCCCTGACCCCTATACTAGGAATCCACGTATCTCTATCCGTCTCCCTTTTTACCTTTTCATTCAATCTCAACCTTATCCCTTCAATCTTTTCGGCCTCCGACTCCCCCGCCTCTTCTGCATCCTCCCCAACTTCAACCTTCTTTCCCTAGCTCTACTTACTTTATTGGACTCCCACCTCCATCTTCCTCTTTAGCTCTATCTTCCCTCCCCTTCATCACCCACTATTCACATCAGGTTCTTCCTACCCCTTTGCATTCGAGCTCAAATCATCTGCTTTCCTGCTCTCAACCCTTACCTCTGAACCGCGCTACCCCAACCCCAATAGTCCCAGATCATCTTTCCCCCTTCCTGCGGCCTTCTACCATATCCATGAAGCCCTCTCTCCCACAACTCGAAAAACCTTGCAGCAGGTAGTTCACCCCAACCTATCTGCCAAAGCCTGTCTTCAAATGACTGTGCTTCCCTGTCCTCTCCCATATAAGTGGGATCAAGTTTCTTAGACAACATGGATAAAGCCCAGGGGAACATTAACTTAGTCATGAAGGTCATGGGCGTGGCCTACAATGGACCTCAGGAGGCTCTCAATGCCTTCATTTATTCAGAACAAGATCATCAATCCAAGACTGCATCAAAAGGCGAAAGAGAGCTAGCTAACTTTCATTTTGGAATCAACCACTGGGTAACTACTTCTAGAGATCAGAAGACCTCTTCAAATTGCCCCTCAACCTGACGGTCATCAAGATTGGCCCCCTTCCTCACCGTGCCTTATGAAGATTCTAACTTGGAATATTAAAGGTTTGGGTGAACCCCAAAAACGCAGTAATGTTCTCAGCTTTGCCTCCCTCACTCCCCCTCTGTCTTAGCATTGATTGAAACGAAACTCCCCGGCTCTACCCTTCCCTTGTTCGCCAGCTTTGGGGGTCCAGATCCTGTCCGTGGGTGTCTTTAGACCTTGGGCTTTGTGGGATATTTGGGTTTGGGACCCAACCGTACACAACATGTCCTCCTCTAATGTAGGGGCTTTTTAAACATCCATCTGCCTGATGAGAGTATCACACTTTCCCTTGGAAATTCACAGCCATTTATGACCTCAACAGCTCTTCACTCAAACCCAATTTCTGGAACGAATTGAAAAGCATCAATTCCCTTCTCCCCCCATTATTGGTGCATCGGAGGAAATTCAACACCACGAGATGATTGTTTAAGCGGAACTCAAATTCATCCTTTTCCCAATCAAGATTGACTTCTTTAATCTTCTGTCAAGGTCAGAACTAATCGACCTTCCCCTCCAAAGAGCTTCCTTTACTTTGTCAGATCACTCTGACAACCCTATCCTCTGCAAGCTAGATAGGTATCTCATCTCTTTGGACTGGGATGCCAAGTTTCCAGGATCTCATTCTCTTGCCTTCACCAAGCCCACATCCGACCATTGCCCAATTATGTTGGACACATCTCTAGCCAATCGTACCGCCAAACCTTTCAGGTTCGAATTGGCTTGGTTAAAGGAAATCTACCTTCCCAACCTTATTCAGACCTAGTGGAACTCTTTCTCTAGTCATGTCCAATGTTATGCAAGGTATCGACTCCAAAGTAAGCTTTAGCACCTTAAGGGATCCCTCAAACCCTGGAGTGCCCAACTGCCAAGAAACTTTCGACCCCAAAAGGCATTCCTCCTTCACACCATCCAACTTTGGGACTCCACTGAGGAGCTCCACCCTCTTGCAGATAATGAGAGATCGATTTGATCCCATGCCAAGTTCGAGTTGCAACTACTCTTAAAGTAAGAAGAGATCTTTTGGGCCAAGAGATCAAGAGATCTTTTGAGAGAAAGCCTATGACCATGTCGATTGGTCCATCCTTGACAAAACTTTCCTTCGTATGGGCTTCGGAGTTTGGTGGAGTGCTTGGATCAAAGGCTGCATTTCAGGCCCTTACTTCTCTATTTCGATCAACGGTTCCCCCAAAGGCTTCTTCCCTTCATCTAGGGGACTCCACCAGGGAGATCCCCTTCCCCTTTCTTGTTCGCGATAGTTGCTGAAATTTTCGGTAGATCAATCTCGCGATTATACCAGGCTGGCTTGCTCAAAGGCTTCACAATCAGCAACTTGGGTCCACTGATCTCTCACCTCTAATATGCTGACGACACCTTGGTATTTTGCGAGGTCTCCCATGAGCAACTTGAAACTCTTCACCACTTCCTCAAATTATTTGAAATGAAAACAGGCCTTGGGGTAAATATGGCAAAATCTAAGATGATCGGAGTGGTAGTGGACCCCTCCCTAGTCTTCTCTCGCATCTCGCTGGGGTTGCTACTCGGATGTTTGCCTTCCTCCTACTTGGGTCTACCTCTATGTTTAGGAAAGCCTAAACTAAACCTATGGAGCCACATCATAGATAAATTTGACTGAAGGCTCGCGAGGTGGAAAGACAGATTTTTATCCTCAGCTGGTCGTCTTACATTGATCAAAGCCACTCTTTCTAGCATCCCTATTTTGCAGATGTTGTTATTTCATATGCCAACCTCAGTGGCTCATCAACTGGAGCAACTAATGAGGAGTTTTTTGTGGTTAAGTAATGGGGATAGGAAAATCCATCTCATCTCATGGTCTAATGTTTGCAAACCTAAATCTCTAGGAGGGCTGGGCATATGCAATCTCAAAGACAATAACCTCACCTTACTTGGAAAATGGTGGGGTGGCATTTAGCCACCCAAAGAAACCACTTATGACAGGAAGTGATCAACTCCAAATACCTTAGCTCCGACCCCTCTTGGTTCCCTTCCCGAAGAGCCCACAACAACACTTTTGGAATTTGGAAATCCCTTATGCACTCATACCTCCACTTTCAATCCAAGATCAGATATAGGCCTTGGCAGGGCGACAAAGCTCTTTTCTGGATTGACCCTTAGCTGGATAACACACTTCTCAAGGACCTTCATCCCAGCCTGTTCTTGCTGGCCTGAGATCCTAACGCAACGGTCGAATCCCACTTTCAGTTGTTGGGCAATAGGAGGCTGTGGGGCAGGATCTTTAGAAGACCCCTATCCGACTCTGAATTTCAGGACTTTACAAATCTTTCCAACACCCTAAACGCAATTTTCTTTACTCACCAGGGCCAGGACAGTCTCATTGGGACCCCAAATCATTCGGGGAACTTCTCGGTGGCTTCCTTTTACTCATCTCTAGCCCACCCCAAAGCCCCACCCACACTCCCGCTACAATTATGACTAACGTTTGGATCCCTCTTGTCCCCCCCAAGATTCAATTTTTCAATTGGATAGCTGCTTCTGAGAGAGCCTCACAGTGGACCAGTTACAAAGAAAGGGACTCCAAATCCCCAATAGATGCATCATGTGTACTGAAGAAGAGGAGAGCAATGCCCACCTTTTCATCCATTGTAAGATGGCCTCGTCCATATGGGCTGAACTCCTTCAGCTATTCCAATGGCAGTGGGTAACTCCACCAAATATCCCCCATCTTCTTAGCTCAACTTTCTCAACCCCTTGGCCTAAAGCTGGTACTCGGCTATGACAGTCATCAGTGGCAGCTACTTTTTGGGTAATCTGGAATGAAAGAAACACCAGAATCTTTCGAAGCCAAAAATCATCCATGGAACCTCTAGTAGAAAAGATTAAAGCCGCAGTTATTTTCTATGCCACCCACGACCTCTCACTCTGATTTTCTCCACAATTTGGCCTCCATTCTCTTCTTCAAACCTCAAAGGCTCCCTCGCTCTTCTCTCCGGAGACCAACCAAAGAGGGTCAATTAAACTTTGATGGGTGCTCTCTCGGAAACCGTGGCCATGCAAGCATTGGCGGCTTGTTTCGAGACCATGACATCAACATCCTTTGCTCCTTTTCCATCCCTATAGGCCTCTCAGATTCCATTGTTGCTGAAGCTTCAGCCCTTCGGGAAGGACTAAAAAAATTTGCCCTCGCTTGGAGTCAGTCTCTAACTACTGAAGGTGATTCTTTTTGTGTGATATCTTGGGCCCCAGGCTCAGCACTCTGGCCTTGGAGGCTCGATAGCATTTTTGAGAAATTCGTCAACTCAGTAGGACTCCACTAATCTCGTGGAATCACGTATGAGAGAAGCAAATGGTGATGCTGACTCCTTACCAAGGTAGCCGCAACCTTATCTCAAGACAACCAGATTCACTCTTTGGGAACTGCTTTTGTTTGGTTTCCCTATCTCAGCATGGCTTTGATCTCCTTTATGGTTTCAAATCAGCTATGTCAAGCATTTTTGGCCTATCTATGCATTTTGTATAGGGCACCCATCTGTGGGTAGCCTATTTTGGGGCAAAACCCATGTGTGGGTATCCAGTCCCCCTCCTAACTCTCCCTTTGTACTCAATTTTAGCTTAATAGAGTTAACATTTAGGGGGGGGGGGGGAAAGGACCAACCACCCCTAAAATGTGTATAGGATATTTTGGTAATTTTATTTTATTTAATTATTCTTTTTTTTGCAGATGCGTAATGAGAAGAAGTATGGACACACAAGTTTGAGCTCGATCCGATGTATAAAAACATATAAAACTGAAACGTAGATATGCTCTTAAAAAATGGGACATGAATGTAAAACATAAAAATATTGGGGGCAGATTTTAAATTTCGAAAAATATGGGCATATGTATCGTATAAAAGGGGGAGGATGTAACCCCAGCGTGGGATTTGAGAACTTTATTCTCAGCTACAAAAATCTGTGTGCTTCCTTTGTGAGTCTTGTGATTTGTTGATGGTTCTCCCTTTACCCTAGTTTTTATTTTCCTCAATTATTGCAATTTCTCAAGATACTGTTTGCGAGATTTTCCTGCATCACAAATCTACTATGAGCCCGCTTAGTGCTTAACATTGAGTTCCATAGGCATACCCCCCAATTCACTTTTTCTATGTTGTGCCGAAGAAATGAGATCCTACATGTTCTTTTGTTGTGTGACCATGCATCAAGATGATCAAGTGACCTCAGTTTCAAAATATATAATAATCACTGACTTTCTGCCATGTGATATTTTATGTATTGTTTCAATAACAAAACAAACAAACGTACTTGCAAGAAAATACAATTCCACTCTGCATATGTGTACCTCTTAGATCATTACTAAAAATTACAACACAGTAAGAAAATCCTCTTCTTGGGTAAGCTTAAGCATAATATTTTAATATCATGAACTATGCAAGCATTTCACCTGCATTAGAAGAGCCGATCATGACAAGAAACACCTGCACAAAAACAGGCATCCAAAACAGAATTTTTAAAACTTCTGACATTTTGAAAGCAAATGAACTCGCAATAAAAAGGGATGCATCGCTTAATGAAATGAATTTACAAGATACATGCGTGCCATACATAGAATAAACTGATTCTAGCAAAACTGCCAGATAATGTCTCATCAAGATGCCGCCCAAAGACACATTTCAGCGCTATTGGAGCAGCATATTAGGTGACAGCCAGAACATGTTTTTGTGGCTTCTTTTGATGCCACTCTATACCCCACCCAGAAAACATTGCCATCTTGTGAGTGAGATAAATAACTGAAACTACCAGTTTTCATCCAGCTCAACAAAAATGCTAATCTTTGTCAGAACTCAAACAAATATTGACCTGAATACTTCTTGCAAACAAGCTAGCTGTAAACTGATTCAACCAAAAGAGCCAGTCATATAGAATTAGAAACACAATGAATCCAATTCAATCAAAGAGATCAATTTTTAAGCTGTTCTTGCCCATTTGGATCCTAGGTTTTGCATATCCTGGATATCAGCTAGAAAAACATGTTTAGCTTCTTTTTCATCACCCTATCCTGGACATGCAAATCCCTGAAAGGGCTCATAGCCTTGAAATGCTAATTCCAAACAAAGAATTAGAATTGGCAAATCCAGGATATGCCAATCCAGGGAAATTATTGTTTTGCATGCTGAGGGACCCATTAGCCTCTTTTTCTCCTCCTGTAGTACCTTCCTCTCTCTCCCCCATTTCTCTCCCAACTCTAATGTTGCATAACTCTCTCTTCCCCCCCCCCCACTGGGGGCAAAAAACATTTCTCTCCCGACAATCGCTCTATTGGAACACAAGTTTTAAGAGAGAGCGAGAGTAAACTTACCATATGGACTTCCACTGATGGGTTGCTCTATAGTGCCCTTTCTCTCTCATCCGAGTGTATGCCATGGCTCATAGCCCTGGTTTCGCTTTGTTGAGTCAAGGAGAGAGATTTCGAAGTTTATTTATTGGAGAGATCATGGCGGTTCTGATGGGCAAGAGGATGTTCGGGGATTTGATGCTTAGGTTTTTGTCTGGTTTTCTTGGAATATCTCTTTAAACATTGAGAGAGAGAGAGAGAGAGAGAGAGAGAGAGAGAGAGTACGTTAGTTATTACTAATAGTAGGACGTAGGTAATATTACTTACTTAAACTAGTTAGAGAGAGAGAGAGAGAGAGAGAGAGTACTTAGTTATTACGTAGGTGGGTAGGTAGGTTAGTAGTAATACGAAGAAGTAAGGAGGGAGGAGA